TACTCGAAATTGAAGTAATCCCAACAATTATGAAACAAGAGATTCCTCGAAACCCAACTTTTCTTCGTATCAAAAGCTTCTGCCTGGCTGCCAGACTCAGTGTGGCCAGTATGCACCTACGGCGAAGAAGACTTTTTGTTTCCAAGTCAAGTAGGCCTGACCTTATAGAGGTTGAATCAGGTAGTGGGGAAATCGACTTAGCATCCCACCCTTGTGTATATGCGAAAGAGTCGCTGAGTTCACTCGAGTGCTGTATTGCATCGATGCAACATAGATCGCTTCGGCGTTCCAACCAAATCGTTGCTTAACCGTCAAATGTCTTATTTAAAGCCATTAACATACCCAGGACCACTTTGTTTTACGCATAAAGTAGGCCAGATCAGAGGCGATTGTTTGGTGGGATCGCGTATGTGTGCGTCTCTTGTGCATTTCTAATTACTTCCATTCTCCCCAAACCCGTCGTGAGCTTATACTTGGTCAGAGTTAAGCAGAAAAGCCCTAAAAGACCTCAGAGAATTCGACAGGTTCTGCCGTACATGGCAAAACATAGAGGCAAGTGGATGCAGGGATTCTGAGCCTTACCGTGGTATAGAAAGAACGAATTGAAAAACGACGTCTGCCAATGGAGAGGGTTGGAAAGATCTGATTCAGCAGCTGAACGAGGCTGCCGCGACCATTAGTTGTTAGATTTCCCGGCTTTAATGCAAAACACATGTATTTTTGAAGAATAAGGGGAAACAAGGGACGAGGAAAGAGGAAAAAGCGACAACACGCCTTTATGTTAGCTGTATAGCCGCCCCATCCTCCGTATCCTCCCCCATCGTGCCTGCACATGGGATCTGGCAGGTGAACACTTCTGCCTCTCACACAAAACGATGTCTATATTCACATGCTTTGCAGGGATGGAGATGGGAATTTGCAACCGAGGGATAATATTGGTCGGGATCAATGCGGAGAGCAAGAAAGCGTGGCTTGGGTGTACAAGGCCTGATTGGTAGTAGCTTCGTGTAAATGAAGAGTAGAAACTAGTTTACTGCATTCGTATGAGAGTAGGGTTTCGAGACTCTCACGCATGACTCTCATGAGGATGCACGTTCTATTCAACCAGTGTGTACTCGCTATCAATCCCTATAGCAACGAATCCACCCGGTGTACTTTAACTTGGCCTGCCTATATAATTCACTTTCGTCGCGATTTTCACATAAATGCTTGTTCTCAACAAGCTCCATTTTCAAAGAGTTGTGCCGAAAAATTATTTTCCATGCTGAATTACTTGCCGTAATTAAATGACTACATTTTTGTTTCGTATGTAATTAGAGTTTCGAGACTACTAGCACTACATTTTTTGTCCCGTCTAGGTCTAATTGGACCCATGATTGGGACTCGAAAGCACATCAAACAACCCGAGCCAAGTTACACTGCACGAAAAGGGTGTCCTTTAGGGCAAATCAAGTCTTCCAAAGATTGGAATATAGGAGAAGGACTGGCCTTCGTTAAACTTCACATCTGCCCTGTAATTCGAGGGCACTAGTGGAAATGTGGCGTAGTGGTTAACGTGTCGAGATTAAATGCTGCATTGTCATGGTTCGAGTCCCGCTGTGGGTGCTGCTAAGACCTAGGCGAGGTCGAATGGATGAGGATCACTTTTGGGAAGCAAGGCTATGTGTAATTCATTGGGAACGTAAGGTCTACTTGTATCATTGTGGGAAAATTCAAAAACCAGTCCTTTGTTGCCTTTGACAAAATAGAGTGAACTCATTTCATAAACCAAGCCTCTGTCCCCTCACATGTTTGGCGAATACTTTTGTGTCAACAAGCCATTTTGATCATTTACGAAAAGGTTTAATCGCGCCATCGAGGACAAAGACAAAGGAGGGATTAAAGTATGGATTATAACGTCCTCGAGCTAAAGTACAATATATCCAGTAGCTCTTTGCTCCTGGCATGCTCTACTGCATTCTCAATCATTTCTAAGCCAATTCATTTATCTTCACTTCAATATCCCAAATGTTA